AACCCAAAATTCACGAGGAAAATCGTAACAAATTCCGTTAAACAAAAGAGCGAAATGAATTTCATTATACTCGACAGTGACGAAGAGGAGTCATAAGACATTTTCATGAGAAGACCCGGTAAACCGCGATTCTAACCTCGCTTCGCTCGGTTTGATCGCGGTTTACGGGCCTTCTGACGAAAAATTGCATTCATCACACGGTCCAAAAGTATTTTCTGACGAATGTGATTATAGGCCTCGCCTTCGGCTCGGCCTACAAAGCCACATTCGTCAGAAAATACTTTGTGGACCTTGTGATGAAAATAACTATTTTATTGAAGTGAATAATACCAGTGACGACGCAGCAAGTACGTCACCACAAATAGTTGAATTTTACCTTGTGACACATTCTACTTCATTTTTTCATTCCAGATCGGTCCGTTAATTTAGAATTTATAATTTATCATTTCCCTCTTTTCAATTTTGTTTATTTGGTCTTTCTTCAGTGGGGGTTTCTTCACAAACCTCCACTTACGGGCCTTGTGACACAAATAACTATTTTCAATAAATGACAACGGTTTCATTCCTTAATCTCAAGTAGGAGCGGAGGAATGAATTTTCAAAGCACGGAGTAATTTCGGACAAGTTCTTCTCATTCAACAATTCATTTCTCGCCTCCCTAATTGAGATGAACCAATCGAGAATTATATTTNCAAAAAATAGTATGTGCCACTCGGCCCGTAGTGTCGGCTTGCGATTCGTGTGAATTAGCAGCACTTCACACTCATCGCAAACCTCCACTTACGGGCCTTGTGACACAAATAACTAATTTACACATACTTGAATGAATTTGAAACATCATATTTGAAGAAACCATCAGAAAGCTCACTTTTAGGGGAATTCATGAAACATTCTAAATTTTCAACGATCGTCATAAAAATCAAATCAACCAATATAGGTATCGTAATTATCTTTTACCTTCTGCTTAATGGCATTAAAACAAACATTTTAAGCATGATTGAATTCATTTGATGCATGATATTGAAACATATCCCTGGAATTCTGATTTTGAAAAAAGACGAAATTTTGGAAAATTTTCGAATAAATCAAAATAACGATTATTGTTATCGCCTCTATCTTCGAACTCGGTCAAAGATACATCCAAAAAAATTTGCTAAGCCATTATTCAATCAATTCAGAACATTTTTGTTCAGTCATTGAGAAAACCGATTTTCGAAAAATAAATAAATAAATAAAAAATAATCTGTGACGTTTTGAGTTTTACCCGGAGGTAAAACTCAGTGAATATTTTTCTTCTTTTTACTACTACGTACACTGTCTACTGTGCCTTGCACTTTGCACTATTTTATTTCTGCACTGTAATCCTTTGGTCCTTGGTTGTCACTCCGACCTCGGCTAACTTCGGCGGTGAACTCACGGGGGGTTCGCTCACTCGGACGGATGTTGAGTGAAGGATATTACTTAGTAAAGTTCTAAATAAACACTCGCGTATTATTACAAAAAGGATGGTATATTGACGATGATGGTTAAAACACACGACTCGGTTTCCTATGGGTTGGTATAACGCGTTATTAAGAGACTTGACTAGGGACTTCGACTCGATTTTAATGGCTTGACTGAAGGCCTGAGCTAGAGGTCCGTTCGACTCTGCTCCTGATTGTACTCTGGTGCTTCCAGAGTCCTCAAAACTTGGCAAAGCCCCAATTCGCTGAACTAAGCAGTCTCATGGTTTTCTCCACTAACACTGTCTCGTGTCATCATTGACAGAGACTCAAACAGTCAAACTGTTCATCGTTCTGAACTGGACTCCTGAAAAACCGTGGGACTGCTTACCACGGTGTCCAAATGACACCGTGGGATTGCTGACCAGTGTCTGGATGACAGGAAAGAGAAATCATATTCCTCGTTCCCACCATCCAGCATTATATTTTTATTTTATATAATTATTAACTAAATCGACGTATTGATCGATCCCAATACGTCACAAATCGATGAATTAAATTTTAATTAATGGAAAAAGGGTGAAATCTATCGCCTTCATCTTCGACTGAGTTCGAAGATAGAGGCGATAGCACTAATCGTTATTTTCATTTATATAAAAAATTGGAAACATTTTTCATTCATTGAAAATTAGAATTCCGGGCATATCTTCGGATATCATGCTTCAAATTGATTCAATCATAGCTTAAAATTTCAATTTGAACATCACTTTGCTGAAGTTGAATGAAATAATATGGAAGGATAAATTTGATATGCAATAAAAAAATGATGTACAAGACGACCATTCGGAAGCATATTGCTAATTTCTTAGCAAAAATAACTACACTATATGAAGATAATAGCAATTACCCACTTGTTTCTTTTTCCCCTGGTATACCCTTTGTTTTAATCGTTATTTTACATTGCTTCGACCCGGTTAGGGTATACTGCGATGATGATCAAAGACTCTAAATGGTTAGATCACACCATTCTACCCGGCCGGGATTTGAACTCGGAAACTTTCGCATGTGAGGCAACGAACTTACCCACTACGCCAAGCCACCGGGCTTCCTGTTATACCCCTAGGTTCCTCACAGCACCAAAAAGGGTTTCAATTTCGGATCGAAAATTCAATTTTACGATGAGGAGAAAAATTAAATAAAATGTGGGAATCACCATGAAATGGACTTTCTAAACCTTTTTTCGTGATTTTTACGATAAAATTAATCAGGACATAAAAAACAATATTGTCTTCAAGAATGGAGCAAATTTATTAAATCTATATTTCCGAATATTTTTTTTATGCAGCATAGTGCTGCATCATTCCAATTGAAAAATTTAGTTTCGAACGAGAAAAGAACATTCTATCTTACTACCAATAAAGTTAATGGAAATGAAAAAAAGAAGAATGTCAATAACGCATCAAAAAACGATCAAATGTTGTCAGGTAGGCCCAGTTCCTTCCATGTTTCCCCTCGAAATTAAACTTAATATTGCTCCTGAAAATTACCACTAAACTCGAAAATTTGCAAAAAAAAATTTTTTCGCAAATTTGGGTTAAAAACAATTTTTTTTCGCAAATTCCGAAAATTGTTTCATTGGGCAATATGGATACCTGATAAATCCGTATAGATTGGACTAAAATGGACGCCCGAAAATGTTTCAAAACATTTTCAATAATCGAATTTTTGAAAATTGCTTCTTGACAAGGTCCACAAGCGAAAAATTATTCAAGAGTGGGGTAAAATGGATACCCGAAAAAGTTCGTCCTATTTAAATTTAATCGAGAAAATTTTCAACAGACGTTTTCCAACAGAATCATGATGGTATGTTTTTGTAGTGAGAAATTAGAGTTGGAAAAGATATTAACAAATAAACTTCAACAAAATTAAATTTTACATTGAAGTTTAAAATATAGAGTAACTTTGGATTTCCTGTTTTACTATTCAAATAACTTTGAAATTATTCATTATTTTCGCAACTGACCTGTTGTCCATTTGCGAAATTTTTAAGATGACTACTTTTCATCTCACAACGGAAATCGCCATAAACTAACGAGGGGGGGGGGGTTAATGAGCAAAAATAATTCGGTTTACCACCCCCCACAGCAAAAGTTAACAATGAGTTTTTTTTTTAAATTGGAAAATCGCGGTCATGACTAGTGTTTCAGAAATTCAATATTGTTGGAAGAAAAAAATGAGGAAGAAATCGAAGTGTCCATTTTACCCCTTTTTTGCTTTACCTTACACTCCTACGATGCAGTCTTATGACAATGTGTTTGTTTTTATAACCGTCAATTGAAGTCGGAACAGTAGATTTGATCCAATTCAACTAATTATTTAAATCTGGTGTCTATATTGCCCCACCCACCCCTCATTACATACATGTTGTTACTTACTATCGCAGTCTGATGCAACGCCTTGCAATCGTAATACACTGGCATTCATATCGAGACTCAAGTCAGCTCTTCTAACAATCCCGAGGATCAAGTCATAAACAATTCCTGGATGACTGTTTTCAGCTTTGGATAGGGCTGACTTGAGTGTCTGAGCAGCGACAACATTTTGACTTTCCAACTGTAACCAACGACAAATTATTTGACAAATCAAATTGATCTGATGACCTAAGTAATTTTTCAGCCATCCATGGACTTTGTGTACCTTTGAAAGTATTGGACGTAATATCACAGGGAGGACAAGTGATGTAACTGGAGTTTCATCTCCCATTGTCATCCTTTATCGTGTTTTCGTATTAAAACGAAACAATAAACTGTAGATATATGCGCTGCTGAGTCGGTAGTATCTGAGGGAAAATACGACGATGATTCGTTTTCTATTATTTTTATGGATTTAGATTATCTGTTACTCAGTGACCTTCAATGATTAAACAATAATTAACAGTTGATCACTTCATTTCAGAATAATTAGCACACTTCTGAACCTTGACAGCTGTCACTGCAGTACTGAAATGATGTAACAAAATGAGGTTAAGCTCGAATATTTATTATGGGTACACCAAAAAGGATGGACTAAAGTAGAGGCTCAGTTCTCCAGGGGCAGGTGACCCCAAGCTGAAATAGTGAGTGCCCCATGGGAGGGATGGCGCCATGGTTGATTTAGGCCTCTGGGTGTCGCGTAAACCACTAGTTACCATATAGAGTTCCTATGACTATCATTATTCCACTAGATTATACCATTGAGATTCAAATATTTTTATCTGATAATTTTATAAATCCAATATTATTTTTAAGCTAGTTGAAATATTCCCACGGTTTTGGAAACAAGAAAATATAGAATTTTGGAAAGTAAGTTCGAGAAACTCGTAAACAGGAAACGAGTAATAAATCTAAAGAGTCTCTCGACGTAGCTCTGGCCATCCAAAAATAAAAGATCCTTTGTATTGTTTTTTTTATATAGAGTTTTCGAGTGCAATTCTAGCTTGACATTAAACCGTTCGAGTCGTAAAACCTTTTCCTGGAGACAGTTTATTTTCCCCGGGTGAAATTCAAGCATTTTCTGTCTCTCCCGAAAAACCACATGTAAGGCCCTTTGTTCAAGTCACGTAGACTCGNGGGCGAGCTGGCTGTGCCAGTAACTCGTCAGTAGCAGTGTTGTGTAACGTCCCGACGTTGAATTTTATAGACGGCACTATTTATCGACCATTTTAATCCGCGAGATTTGAATTATTATTTCAAAATGAATATAAAACGTCTGAAATTTGAGAATGCCAAGAAAATGGTCGAACAGAGGACAATGAACAATGGACAAAAAATAATTTGACGAGTGTAAGAAAAAACCGTTCCCAGCAATCATAAATGTCAAGTACTTGAGTTGAGTTTTCAATTTATTACTCTCCAAAATTTGTTACAGAAAGGCTTTTCCTGAAAATTCTAAACTCAGAGAGAAAAATAAACACATCGGTCACAGTAGTAAAATCGTAAAATCTCAATTCTGGTATATTTCGAAAGTTTCTCTGTTTCAAGTGGTCCACACGTGTTTGGGTTCTCCTTTGTTCATTGTATACCTACGCGGAGGGCCTGAGAACCCTCAAGAGGAAAACTGGCAACGTCGCACGCTTTCCCTTCCGCCCTCTTTTCATTTTCCCCTGTTCACTTTTGGCTTACCCCGCTTCCCTTTCCTCTGGGCCAGGATTGCGCGCGCAACTTTTTGGTCTAGTGGAGGTGTTTTGAGCCAACCCTTAGATTTAAAAACTTAAGTTTAAGTCAGTCTCATCGTGGCTGTTATTTCGACAACTTTTCAAGCTTCTTTCTTCAAGTAGTTTTTCTTCAGAGTTTTTACGAGTTTTTATAAGTTTATTAGAAGTTCATCCAGTTTGTAGTCCAAGTTTTAGATTTTTGAGTCAAGAGTTACTTTGAATAAAAGTGTTAATGTGCTCTGCTAAGCACTAGTGTTTGGATTTATTCACAAATAAACCTTCAATCCAATTATCCTATCATTGAACGAGTCAACATCGATGGAGTCCTCATCAGAGGTTTAGCGGCTAACGGATCCACACTTCAAAGTTTGGCGCTCAATATTCCAAATGGCGCTACTGTCCTCCTAGTAATTTGGGTGACCCCCACGACCGCCACTTTACCATCATCAAATGCCGCAAACTTGACGAAACTAAAAATTCCCTAGCATCTAAAAAAACCAAAAATAAAAAATGTAAAGGGTGCAAGTATTTGATTGTAATCTTCTCCACAGCTGGTTACTGTTATAACATTTATCANCTAACCTCCTTTAGGCATTAAAGAATTCTAAGAGAATTAGAATTTAGAGAGAAAAAATTTCCGCTTCACCCAGTCGGTAAGAGTGCCCGGCGCGTATCTGGGAGACCCGGGTTCGATTCCCGGCTGGGTGAAGCGGAAATTTTTTCTCTCTAAATTCTAATTCTCTTAGAATTCTTTATTTTTTTGAGGGATTTGAGGGATGCCGCCACGGTCGAATCTGACGGCTGGACGAACTGCCTGTGCGGGTAACTCGGCAGTAGCCGTCCCGCTGTCACAGGTATAGTTTCGGAGGGGAATTTATGTCCTCCTCGCCCTCAGCATGTTCTTAATGTTTTTCAGGTGATTCATTTGCTGGCTAATTAATATTAAGGAATGAAACACAGAGGGTGTGACGGAGAATTAAATTCCCCATCAATCGATCCCCGTTGCATCCCTTAATCTCTGTAACAAAAAAATACAAACTACGACAAAGTCATGGGCCAGTGAGAAAAATAATTTTCTTCTCGGCGCACAGTGACTTTTCACCATACGCTCGCGAATTAAAAATTCACTTCTCCCCTCC